GTGTGTAAATAATACCTAAACCCATGAATCAAAAAATCAGTTGGAGAGCTTTATTGAACACTTGGCAAGTAAAATGTAGAAGCCAGACAGAAGCCTGTCTGTTTTATCTTTTTTTGTAACTTTCAAATTCAGCTTTCGAATGCATCCAACCATTTACCTTTTTTTTTTAAGGCTGAAAGTGGAAAACCATGTAACCACAACATTTGTCAGAACTCAAGTATATATCCAGCAGCATGTGCTCCGGCCTGCAGAAACTCTGCTTCAGAAACACTTTTTGACGGTCAAATATAAAGCCTTTCTATTATTAGTACATCTGAGTGGGACAAAGTTTCTCTAACTATATTTAAACATTAAACGAGTCTCTCAGTCTGATTTCAAACACTTCTCACAAAGTGTTTTTAATGATTTAAGCAGGCTTAAGAAAGCTCAATAAAACATTCATAGCCATTAAAAACATCATTGTACATATAAGAAACAACATATAGAAATTACGGTTGCACTTTATTTTACAGAATGTGTACTTACAGTGTACCTACCTAAGAAAGTTCTGGAAATATAAGGTAACTACATGGGGTAGAGTTAGGTTAAGTGGTAGGTTCAGGCAGGGCCATCCTTAGGGGGTGCAACTGGTGCAGTCGCACCCCGCACTTGAGGGGGCCCCACGGAGAACGGACCGAGGGGGGCCCCGCTCCCTACCTCGCACCGGGCCCCGTGTCAACTAAGGATGGCCCTGGGTTCAGGGTTAGTATATAGTTATTACCTAGTTATTGTAATTACTATAAGTACATAGTATGTACATGAGGAAAAGGACTGTAAAATAAAGTGCTACTGAAATTACACTAAAATGGAACTGAAAACATTTAATTTCATTCATTATAAAAACACTTATTTTGCCCCTTAAAAATAATAATAATAATTATAAAAAAAAAGAGAATATGCAATATGATATCTAAAAATGTGTAAATATTTAAATCTTTTTGGCAAGGCATCATGCATCAACCCCATCAAAACTTACAGTAATTACTGATTGAACCAATAAGAATATCATCATAAATAATTATAATTCCCACATAATATATCAACTACAATAAACTTCACAATGTAAGAAGAGAAGAGAAGAGACGAGACAAGAAGAGATGAGACGAGACGAGACGAGACGAGGACGAGAAGAGAAGAGAAGAGAAGAGAAGAGAAGAGAAGTGAAGAGAAGAGAAGAGAAGAGAAGAGAAGAGACGAGACGAGGACGAGAAGAGAAGAGAAGAGAAGAGAAGAGACGAGGACGAGGTCTGTTCTTGTGGAGGTTCTGATTGTCCTGTGGTTCACAGCAGCCTACGAGATCAAACAGAGTAAAGAAGAGTAAAAACGAGAGTAACAGACTACAGGTCATCTGATCATGGACTATAAAATCAAATATTTGTAATTTCACTCATCATTTCATCATTAGTACACATGCAGAAACACTTTTATTGATAAATGTGAATATCTTTAGCAACATTCTTGTCACGAGTAAATAAGAGTTTCATCAAATGTACAAGTACACATTTAAAAGATGAAGTTACTTTTAATCACGTTCTTTTCCAGCAGTGATGATCTGTCTGTATGAGCAGTTATCACGCGTCTCTGAGAGACTGGAATGTGACTCGTGTCCCTCTTAGGGTCTGTTTACACCCGGTCATCTCCAGAGCCGTTCAGAAACAGAGTTGCGACTCCCATAGGCTTCCATAGGAACTGAGGAATGCAGAAGTACAGCGTGTCGTGGAGCAGCCAATAGTTCCAGCATTGAAGCCCATTCAGTGCTTCTCAAGCACACTCTCCAGAATGAAGAAAATACAGCATTTTTTGGAAATCTTGCCAGTAGTGGTATTTTATGAAGCACATTATAGTTAATGTTTATTGTTAGATAATAGAAACTTATACTATAATTGCAGTTAGATAACAAGAGAAACAACTTAATAAGATGCTTTAGTATTTCTGCAATCGTTCTCTCCCTGTAGGAGGTTGAGTCAGTTTCGGTAAAGACTGCCCATTCAAGAATACAACAAAGAGTTTTGCTGAATGCAATTGGTTGCCTTGTGTGTGTGTTTTTTTTGTTTGTTTTTTTGGGGTTAAATTTCGTATTTGCTTTCCTTTTTAACATTCACCTATTTTGTATGCTTATGTGAATATCATTAAATAACACTGTGAGTAATTAACCTTTCTAAAATTTTTTTTTTTTTTTAAATCTAAACGTAAAACAAACGTGTTTGATTATGTCTAAATATACATCCAAATGCAAAACCTAAAAACTAGAGTAGAACTAAATACATATAGGCTATATTTATTGAACAATCATACGGGCGTCTAGTGGTTAAACCATGGCATTACATTTCAATATTATTTTTCCAGCCACCAAATGCGTGATATTTGCCTCTTTGGAGTGGAATTTAAAAATGTTTTCTCTATTTTAACCCTAAATACTAATTGTAATATAAATAATAAACATAATATAAAGTGTTATATCCTAAATGGTCATTCATGGACCATATTGCACAAATTATTTAGTACCGAAAATCTCCTCAATATATTAATTAAATAGAACTGAACTAAAATAAAGTACAATTATTTAAATGATTAAAAGTTACACTTAAATTGTTTGGTCACATCTGACTGACAAGGAGTATGAGAACATATTAATGCGGTCTCTTTATCACTCCCCAGAATAACATGCTATTGTAAAACCTAATCAGCGTAATTATCAATACACAATCAATGCACATTATGTGTTAAAGGGGTCATATGATGCGATTTCAATTTTTCCTTTCTCTTTGGAGTGTTACGAGCTCTTGGTGCATAAAGAAGATCTGTAAAGTTGCAAAGACTAAAGTCTCAAATCCAAAGAGATATTCTTTATAAAAGTTAAGAGTCAGCCACACCTACCTAAAATGGCTCGTTCTAACACGCCCCCACATGGTTGACTATACTGTAAAAAGCACCGTACTTCGGATGAGACGTTAAAGCGAGGTCCTGACTCTCTGTGGTAATTAAAAATCCCATGGCACCTCTCGTAAAGAGTAGGGGTGCATCCCCAGTGTCCTGGCCAAATTGTCGCCACTTGCCCTTGTCTATCATGGCCTCCTAATAATCCCCATCCACTTGATTGACTCTATGACTCTCTCTCCTCTCCCACATGATTGTAAAGCGCTTTGGGTGTACAACAATACACAATAAAGCACTATATAAATGCATCATTCATTCATTTATTCATTCATTCACATGGCTACGTCACGATGTGGGAAGATTTGCATTACGCTGGCCAAATGTTCACGCAAAGAAAGAAGGTGTAACTTTTATTCTCGCTGTAGTATTGTTGCTGCCGCCATGTCGTGAAGACGCTGTGTGCTTCGTTGTGAAAGCAAAACTACTTTGTTTGGTCTTCCAAAAGAGGACACGACTAGAAATCAGTGGTTAAGTTGTATTTACAACACTGTTCCAGAACACTTCAACCCAAATATCCAGATGTGTGCAGCACATTTTATGGAGGACTGTTTCCTGATCCTGGGAGAGTAGCCTACAATGCGGGCTGTTCTGACTCACAGTCTGTAAGTATGTTTTCATGTTTAAAGAATTTGCCACTGATGATTCAAACGCGAGTTTTGAGCAGTGCAGAGTAGCGCTTGTTGTTTGTCATTTCTCCGATCACAAATGCAGACATGGTTTTATGTTTACGCGGCGCGATGCAACACGTAAAAAGACAGTACAAGTCATTATAATCCGTAACTATGTCCCCACTGGATGCACAAATGCCTGGTTTATAATGGGTTTTCATGTTTTTGTCTCA